TGTCCTTAATTAAATGTAATAAAAGACCCCCTTTATAATTAAATCATTCTAATGGCTGCGACAATGGTTTAAATGCCAGCACCATCACAGGATAATTTGATTAAATAACTATAAAATAAAATGTTTTCACTTCTACTCAGATGTGAAATGCACACAAATACTTATGTTTTGAAAACAACTAGGTATTTATATCATGACTTTATTCTCTGATCTTAGCTTATCCTGATGGCCGATACTTTTAAAGGCTGACATGTGCCTTAAATCCTCGTCTCTTTGTCCAGCAGCAATGTAGTGTTCTCTTCCCATTGCTTCTCTAACTCCCTAAAGGCATGTAAGGGCTGTTACTCAGTACACTTCTGACATGTCCCAGAGGAAAGGATGATGCAAGGACACTGCTCATACTCGTTCAGCATCTCGGTCCCTACAGTGATCTCAGTAACAGCCATCGCTGCTGTTATAACCTCATGCCGAAAACCTCTACTGCTATTCGAAGCGATTGCTGGAAGCAGGTTCATTATGGTTCTCAGTTGATGGAGCTATTGCAGTTGGTTTACATTCCATACTCCAGTTCTTTGCTAAATATCCCCATATAATAATAATTGAACTTTCATTAAATTTACCTGTGTATTTGACCCATCCCCTTGGGGAGCAGGGGGCTGCCATTGTGTGGCACCCAGGGAGCAGTGTGGGGTTAAGGGTGTTGCTCAGGAACCCAGAGTGGAGTTCCTGAGCAACACCCTTAATCCCACATATGGAAATATATGGAAAAATAGTTGTGTAAGATGATCCAAAGCATGAGTTGATCCTAAAAAGCCCCTGCTGGAGTCAATAAAAAATACAACATGCAAATGCTGAATGTGTACAAAATTAACTAATGAAGAATTTTTATAGGAAAATATTTTATCTGATCAAGGTTACGTCTGAGCATGTATTTTTCTTAAACTTGTGAATGAACATTAGTCCTCTTTAACATTTATATTTATGCAAAGTGATCAGTTTAAAACATTTAACAACTGAAGTTTCTTAAGAAAAACTTAGTTTGTTATCTAGCACCATCTGGTGGTCAAATGTAGAAACAAGTAACAGATGGCAACTCATTGAAACATAGGGATGCTGGTTAACCGCTTTACTCTGAAAATCTGTGCAGTAATTCATGGTGAAGATAGTGTCCTCGGGGCGTCCCATCTTTAAGGTTTGGGACTTTTCTTTGATTTCATCTTCAATTTCATGCTACAATACACTTAACTGGATTTGGGTAGCTAATAATAGTATTTTAGAGACAATCTTTTGCTTTTTTCCCTCCAAAAGCATAAGATTTATGTAAAATTTAATAAGATTGAGTCTGATAATGTGAAGATTTTAACAGGTTTATATGTACCGCCTCCCATTTCTAGTGTTTTCTCTAAAGGTAAAGGAGGCAAAAAGCCCGAATGGGGCAGAATTTCACTCAAGTGATATAAAGATGAACATTAAGATGTTTTCTTGCTTCTCATTTTTTTTGGTCCTACAAACAAACTGGCCATTACCTCTCCAACCAGCTTTATTGGACAGCATTAGCACCCACTATAACTTTATTTGGTGCTGATCCCCTAAAGACCATTGACTAAATCTACATAAATAAGAATATGCACAAACCACCACAAAGAAAGGTCTCAACCACAGGAAAAACTTTTTTAGGATTTTATTCTTTAAATTATTTTATAAAATCTCATTTACATGTATATTTTCATATATATAGGTATGTATATATTTATACATATATATAATATTCACCAATTAACAGTTTTGGTTATTTTCCCTTTCTACCCCGTTTATGTCCATATACTGATCTTAAGTCACATACCCCCACGTCGTGCGATGAACCTTGCCAAGGTGGGTGGGTGTTTGGGAACGGTTCTGAACAGAGCATGCCAGGAGAAAGGCTACGGGAACTGGGAATGAAGCAACCTAACTACACCACCAGTATTAATAATCACACAAAAGGTAAGGGCAATACCATCTTACACAATGTCTTGAGTATTTTGGTGTACATCAGACCAGTCATATTGTAAGAGATTGATGTATTACATTACGATATCTTTCCAAAAAGTATTTGATAATCTATGAATGTAAACTCCACAGTCAGTTTCTCATTTAAACTTTGAAATAGGGCCCACTAATCTAAAGGCAGCCATCAAGACCATTAAGCCCTTTGTAGTGACCAACACAAGTCATCAGTCTATTGTTTACAGTCAGAGCCACATCAAATGGAGTGCAAGTGGCTATGTTGATGTTCTTCTTAGGCTTTTTAAAAAGCCTAACATCTACAAACAAAAACAAAAAAAAGAAAAATAACAGATTTATATGTTTCATTAGCTTCACATCAAGATAAGCCATACAATGTATTTATTTTCACTCCAGAGACAGAGTTGTTCTTCATTTGGCAAAATGATCACTCTGGACACATGGCTCAATGATTCTGAAAGTCCTTGTTGATGCTGGTTATGAACTGCAAACAAAGCTACAAAAATACAACACTGAAACATTTCAAAAGGCTTGGCTGGATGAAAAACAAATTGCACATTTCCCCCCAAAGGTCACAAGACTCTTTGACACACGAGTTTCGCTAATATCGACATCTCTTAAAAAAGCCTTCATTCTACATCAATGGATATCAAAACGTCCCTTTATCTGTTTTAATATGCATAAAGACAACACATGACTTCGGGTTTTACGAGAAGGAAGAAAATGCTTAACATTAGACAATCCTTCCCAAATCCAATGTCAGTTTTTTAAACATTTAAAGCGAAAACAAAATTTAACTTCTTAGACATATAATTACAAGTGTACAATATTCTTTTTTTAAAAAGTTTAAGATGCAATTAAAAAATATCTCTGTTTTTGTCATTCTAATTCATATTTTCTAGGTTGCAGAAATGAGTTTTACATTTGGAGCCAGATGATTTAATAATTATTCTGAATAACTGATTGCTAAAACATAGCTTTGATAACATTAAAAAATAAATTGAAATTTATCTGATAAGAGAGCTATACAGTCTTAAGGCATTCAGAGGTTAATCCTGACAGCACATAAAGGCTCAAACAGCCAAGAAGTCCTTCAAAATGATTCAGACTAATTTTCTTATGAGAAGTGACTGAAAATTAGCCCTTGGTAACTATAGATTTTGTATATGGAGAACAAGAGTAGACACTACAGATACCCATTAAAGTATGGGCTAATGTTTAAACCTAGGCAGTATACCTCCACCACCCAGCTATGCAACAACAGATCTGGCGCAGCTCTGAGTGTTTTACAGCAAAGGGAGAGATTTCAAGAACCCAAATTAATGTAAACTTGCAATACACATGGTGTGCTCAATGGTAAAAATGTCAGTACAAAACATATATCATAAATTGTGAGATGCACCAATCAGCCTTTTCCTAAAATAGATTTTCAGTTTTCTTTGAGTAAATTTCCATTCTCTATAAAAATCATCAGGTTTTTCCACAAAGGAAATGGTTTTACAACGAACAGAAAATACAGGAATTAAATTAACCTCATTAATATAAGAATTAATGCCTATCCTTTATGTATGAAGCTACATGCTTATGTGTTCATAAACTGAATTGATCATCTGATCACCAAAACAATCAAGGGAAAGTTGTTTAAGTTCCAGTGTCTTACCATTGATTGGTGCATCTAAAAAAGCAGTTTAGTTAAAATCTAATTACTTACTTATTTGCAAAGCTATCAGTGTTAAATATGTCAGCAAAAGAAGGCAATCCAAGTCTAAATTCACCACAACTCTGAGATGGTGACAGTGCTGCTCTAAGCTGCATCAGGAAAAATGTTTTAGGCTTTGCTACTTTCTTTTTAAATGGAAAGAAGCATCTTTATAGGTTTACAATTTACAGGTTTTGTTTTGTTAATTATTCAGCTTATTCTGAATAAATGCTTAAAATAGTTTATATTGAGCTTGTATATTTTTCAGAGGTTAAAACATAACTACTCAGTTACAATTTACTAATTAAATGATTTGTTCTTCGTTTTTTTCCCCTGTGGATGTTGAGGCTAGTAGAATCCATAATGTCCAACTGCATGAAAGCTGATGTTCAATCGAGGTAGACAAACCATTGAGGAGCATAAATCTTTATACTGCCTAAAACCAACCAATATTTAACGTCTTTAACCAGCATTAGATTTCCCGTGAACCCCCTGATGAAATATGTGCGGTTTGGGTGTATTAATGAACGGGACACGACTTGTAACTGACTCCCAACTGTCTGACAGAAATTAGTGCCAAACATCTTTAACTTCTCTACTTCACAGCAGCTTTTAAAACTGAGCCATGAAAATACAAAAATCACAAATATTTCAGGGTAAAATTTACAAGGAATATTTTAAATATATTTGTTTCTTTAGGATATCTTCCACTCTATTCCAACATATGTACGACGCACATCAGAGAATGCCAACGGCAGATCTCAGGCCCATTGAACAGTCTCACATTGTCCTAGAGAGAACAGAGTTAATGACTTCCAGTGTTAACTTTTTTTCCAACATTTTTCAAGTTTTCTAAAACATATTTTACTATTAGGCAAGCTCAGAGGTCTTTTCTACAGATACATACACACAATCATACATAAATATATAGTGTTTCTATTTATTTATATATTCATATATTAGAAGAACTTTTAGATGAGAAGTTCGGCGAAGAATATAGTGTTCATTAGCATGGATTTTATTTAGAATGAGATGTAATTTAGCCACTTTGTCCAGTTTTCGCCTTGAAAAGAATAAAAATCTGAGAACAACAGGAAACGCAAAAAAAACAAGATGCCCAAAAGCATATGAGCTGTTTAAACTGATGAGAATCAGGGAAAATGCTTGCAGCTTTACAAGGCAGAGGGTAGGCATGGGCTGGTTACAGGTAATGGGTTATAAGGAGTTTAAAAGAGATTTTATAACTACAAAGGGAATTTCCTTAGTTCTGTTCCTACAGATTGATCTAATGCTTGTGTTTTAACTGGTGAAATCTTCAGAAGATCAATTTTTTTTCACTCAAATCATGAGAATCTCACACCGGCCCATGCCTAGCAGAGAGCGGGGATAATGATATGTTTCTATCCGCGTGTATTCCACAGGCCTACTGTCAGGGAGTGGAAATGTACAGGTTCAAGAAGCAACCAGCAGATCAACACAGAAACCAAAGAATTAACTATTTAAGCTAAGGCGAATCAATAGTGCAAAACTACATTGGATATAAGGACTGGACTGTTTCATCGGTACACCAAGTGTGATATGGTGCCAGATTTGAAGTTGAGTTGATGGTTGGGCACAAAGTTGTGCTGAGGATTCTTTCGTGTGCACATATCTTTCGCATATAACCCCATGCAAGAGTCACAAGACACCTTAGAGCAGTTTACGCAGGTGTGTGTTGCACCTGGCTTGTTGCAAAACCCGCATCGTGAGCCCCCAATGCTTATACGCTCTGTGCTCCCTGCCTTTGGCGTTGTCATAGCAACTGACTTGCTAGGAAACAGTTTGGTGGGCATGAGAGGTTTTTCTAACATCTGGGGGTGAGGATGGGGATGAGAGTGGGTTAGGGTTAGGGGGTGGGGATGGAGATGGGGGTGTGATTGAGCATTTGAGTAGACTGACAACTTTTCCTTCACAGGAATGTATCCGTCAAGGGGGCGTGGGGATTTGGGGTGATATTCCTGGAGGCCACAACAGGGGGATGGGTCTACGTCATGGCAAGCAGCGCAAAGAATCATGTCGCACCTCTGACAGGACGCCATTGTGGAACATGCCAGTCCACAACCCTGACACTTCACACTACCGTGAGCTTTCAGTAGCCAGCTATCCCTGGCCTCACGGGGCTCTCTAGATGGTGGTCGAGATGGAGTTTGCCTTCCTACTGTTCCAACGCCACCTCTCTCGGTGTACAAGTCGATGTCGTCCAAGGACGACATATGGTACGATGCGTATGGGTCAACTGGCGGAGGTGACTGCATTGGGAAAAAGTCTGCAACAGGGCTGTAGGAAGGGGGAGCTGCGATAGAGAAAAAGGATGCAGAGGTGCTGGGCCTGATGATCTCATCCTTCATATCCTCCTCTGCATCTACAAATAAAGGCTCCTTCCTAAGGCTCAATGACGCCTTCAAAACAGGCTTGTTAATAGCGGGATGCCAGTGACCTGCGCCATCCGTAACATCCACAGACTTGGATGGGCGGCTGCTTCGTCTCAGGTGGTGGGTATGAGGCCTTTCTATATCCAGTGGTCGAACAGACAAGCGAGAAATATCTGCCCCAAGGCTGTCACGTCTGCGCAGTGCCTCGGCGCAGCCAGCAGCATCGTCTCTACAATCCCGGCGGAGTTCCAGCGCTTCGAGCTCCGAGGCTGCACCGCGGGCGAGAGCCACAACCTCCCCGAGAAGACGACACTCTGCCTGGGACAAGAACAGCTCAAAGGCTAACTGGCGGAGATGATCCGAGTCGCCAGGGTGGTCCAGCAAACGGAACTGGGAATCAGGGTCACAGGTATATCCAATGGTACGCATTAGTGTTCGGAGTTCAGCATCAGAAATGGCAGACTGCAGATGGTACACATATGGGCCAGTGAAGGTCTAGAAGAGAAAATAAAATCTGTTAAAAAACAAAAAAAAAAAAAAAACAAAGCATTCACCTAAAATAGACATCAAATCATAATGGCTGTTTTGTAATGTCCTCGCCATGTTTATAAAGGTAGCAGAGACAACTGTTCCCGATATTGTAAAGATAAATACATCTCAGTCTAAAAATGTATAAATCATATAATATTTTATATTTTAGAAATAACACAAAGACATTCTAAACATGCATAACAATAATTTCTAACAAAAAATTATTTAGTTGAAATTTATCAAATTGATTATTGCATGTTCATGTAAACATCGTAATAAACTTTATCATTTTCTATTTCCAAAGAAAGGTCCTTTAAAGGCTCAGGATACCAAGTTTAGTCTGTTTAGGAGGAAACTGAGTAAATCTTTAACATGTCACCATTTCAAAATGTCAGATAAAAACAGAATCTGTTTAAATGTGACTGATAAGTTACATTTCTTTGCAAAATACTTAGGCTTTTTTTTTTATATTTGGACACTGGCAGCTAAAGATGACCACTACGGTGACTCTTCAAGAAGAAAACAACTACACACATTCAGGCTTAATCTCACTTCTATAATTGAAAAACATTAATGTGTCATGGTTCTTTTTCCTCCTTATACACAGATCCAAATACTCTTCACACAGACACAACAACAGTCTAGGTTTAAACCCTTTTTGAAAAAACAAGCCAATATGTAACAAGTGACATTATGAGATCATAAATAACCATGAAAAAGATCAGAAAAGAAGTCTAAGAAACATGAAACTATTTTAGGCTAAAATAAGAGCCTCTACCAATGTATGACCTTGTTGTTTGTTAATGTTTAATGTGTAGCTCAGAAACATTCCTGTAAGCCGAAATAAAATGATTTTATGGCATCTTTGATATAAAATAAAACCTTTGCACCTCTAAACTCATTACCACAGTAAACTACACTCACCTTTATACATCGGAACTCTTTTTTCCAAGGGAAGAGCAGGAGATTAGTGCAGATGGTTTCTAGAGTTTGAAAGGCCCTCTCCAGGCTCTTCAGGCTGCCTCCTCTCTGGCATCGGAGAGAGTTCTCCACCATCTCGTAGAAACGCACCATGCGGAATCGTTGTCCAGGATCAGGCTGATAGGCTCCGAGCAGAGCCGTGGCCGTGGAGAGCAGGGCCTCGCTTTCCTTGTGTCTGTTTTTGTCTCTGTCCAGTGTTGTGCCATTCCCCGTATATCCCCCCTCCAGACGCTTTTCCAGTGCAGTCACATACCTCCGAAACAGGTCCTCTCTTAACTTGGCATCCATTATTTGCAACAGACTATCATTCAGAAGTTACAGAGAGCCTTAGCCCTTTAGGCACACCTTGAATTTGGATGCCACATTCGAGCCCCATTTCCGGCAAGAATAACTGACTTTGGTACATTGACTCATGCTAAATTGCTATGTTTTGGAGAAAGGAGAACAGATAGACTCAGTAGTCCATCATCTAAACACAACCCCTCCCCCAGTTGGTGGAGCAATGCAGTATCTTGTACGGTTGTCTTTGTATGGACATCTCTTCTTCGTCTCAAAGCATAACTTGTTTCCAGACAAACAGGTCAGTGCAACACAAACAATTTAGAAAATGAGGATATTTGCTCTGTTAAATAAGAGTCAGATTAATGTGGTTTGAGGTCAATCGTCTTGAAGAGCCATTGTCAACAGAAGGGTTCTTTCTCGCCAATCTCCAACCTGTAAAAATACATGGAACGATCATCAAAAAAAGGCATTTTTATTCCTCTTAACAAATAAGGAAAGGTCATCTTGCTGCTGGCGAAATACAAGGTTGTTACATAGAGTCATAAACTAATCAACAGTTTCATGGTTTTAAAGGCAAATTTGGGTCCAAACCTTCCCACAGTTTAAAAACTTTATCAGTAGAGGACAAAAGCGGTGCCAACGTTTTGTGGGATGGAACAGAGAAGTACAGTTTGCCACCTCTGAATTTGGCTATAAGTGATCATACTGTCAAAAGCTTGGTTTAGAAAAAATAAATAAATTAAATCATGAATCAATCAGTGTCTGTTCTTAATTTGTAATAATGTAGATAGGACAGAGGATCGTGAGAGAGGCAGTGTAATGCATTCTGTGCCTATCAGTAGTTTGAGTGGGATGTCAGGATGCACTGTGTGGGTACCTAGATGTTGTTAAACTCAACCCACATTAATTGTTTTCTTGTTTATAACCGTGACTGATGCAAGGATAGTCACTGTACGGATAAAAACATTTAAGGTGGAGAATATGAAATGTAAAATGTGTAAGGTGCAGCTTAGCTTTGCCTAACAATTCTTTACCCCCCCCCCAAAAATTTTTTTTGACGTGTAGTTATTGTATTATACAGTTTTTCTATTTTTTCTCCTGACAATAGGATGTGGTTTCCGTTCTTTGCGAATCTGGCTTTTCCTGTTCCATTATAAACCCAGTGAGAACCATGTAGCGAGCTAGCAAGCACTTCCTTTTTCACTGCGTATATCAGCTGCGACAGCATCATTAGCCGCACTTCAATGTACAGAAATAAATCATCACAGCAGCGTTTTCACACATTTTCCATATCAACCCCAAAATACTAACCGAGAAGACCCGAAACTAAACGAAGCAGCGAACGCCCATTCATCACAGCTACCTAGCTAACGTTTGCTTTTAGCTATCAGGGCGTTCCATCGTAACCATGATCCTTGCCTGGTTTAGAGACATTTTTTTAAACACATTGACCTTATATAACAGCAAATACGTAAGTTAGACTAAACAGGTTTCTATCCGGATAACCCGCTTTCTTTTCCCACAGAAACACAGGTATACCTGTGTAGCTTACCTTAAAGTGTTAGCCCCTCTAGCTAGGTACGCCTCCTCAGCTGTTGAAAATTCCCTTCATCCCAATGCGCATGCGCGAGGGCAACTGTCAGCATCAGGGAGGGATCCACGTGCTTTGGAATAGCGGAAAAGAAGAGGATCCCAGTTTTCTTAAAACCCCATAATCAATGTTGGCGGTCATTACGTTAACTTTAAGACAGCTAAACAATCTGTAGAAATGTTGGATTTATTTTATTTTTTTATTAATTTCAATAATTTTGATAGACCTCTCATTTCTATCATGACACTGTGCAGCCAAACATACATATAACACTTCTAGAAAATCAAACGGTTAAAACAGGAAAATGGCAAACAAATGATGGAAAATATATAAAATATAACAAGAAGTGCTCTAATGACTGACATACAAAGAATGGCATAAATAACTGGGTTGTAACTGGGAAGGTTTAGGCAATGCAACCCTTAGCAAAAGGTAGTATACTTGAAGTAAATTCTATTAAGAATACTTAAGTATAAGTTTAGAAAGTATACCGAACAATGTACTTTTAGTGTACTTGAAGTATACTTCTTCGAACTAAATTGGGACATTTTTAAGTTTACTGAATTATACTTAAAGTATACTTTACTGAACAATAAAGTAAACAATAGTATAGTCAAGTACACTTGACTATACTATTGTTAAGTATATAAAATATAGTTTAGAATAAGTAAACTCTAAGTGCACTGCTTGATTTTAAGTATGAAATTAGTGCACTTTTAGTATACATGAATAAACTACTTTTTGCTAAGGGAAAGTAAAGATGTAGAAATTTTAATCAAGAAAGTGACTGACAGTGGAAGTAACACTTGAATATAATGTATGCTAGATGTTGTTTAATGACACAGTTACATTATCTGACTACATCTGATTCAGATCAATACATGCATTTACGAAGGGTTAATCATTATTGCCATTAGGAAAATGTTTGTGCTATAATCTTTCCAGTTAATGTGTTAAATTGTCTCTGGAAAATAAGTAAAATCTATCCATTGCAATGAACTATTAAACCTTTTGAATTAACATTTCCGAAATAAAACCATTAAGACAATTTAATTGCATTTTATAACCATGAAAATAGCCATGATATTCACTTAAATCTGTTGATGTAGTACGAAATGAATTACCAAAAACACATATACGATTTTGTAGCTATGTCCTTGTACTTCCTTTGGATATTAGCCCCTGTCCCATTTTAACGCATATTTCACTTCTTATTACCAAGAGGAATTGGTTTATTTATTCGTGCGGGAAAAAAAAACATTTAAATCTTGAAAAAAAAAAAAAAAAGATGGCTTTTCATAAGGTTGCTTAAGTTTCCAAGATAGACAAGCATTGTTTCCTCCTTGCATGCCTTACCAAAAAAAAATCTGTTTTATAAATGTATGATTGAACTTTATCACACTGGAGAAATAGTTTTGTATAGACAATGTTAATTTAAGAAGGTTAAGACTTCATTGTGCATTTTTTTTTGAGTCCAATATATATTTGTAAGGTCTGACAGAAGTAAATCAGATTATTTAGTGCCACTATTTTAAGGATTAATAAAACTCCTTGGCCACTTTTATATTCTCTCACACAATGTTGGTATTTGCTCCCATTAATAATAACATTTACACTTGGGGTAAGGAAAACAGTAAGTGTTCAATAAAGATGAGTGTTGCACATATGAGTAATAACCGCTTACGAACTAAATCTAATATGCTGTACAGAAGAGGATTAGGGCCACTGAAAAAAAAAGTTCACTGATTTTTAAATATTATTTCAGTTTAATATGGGGGGGGGGGGATTGAATTCTGCCTTCAATCTTAGAATTCTGACTTTAATCTCAGATTTTTGGATCTTAATGTAGGGGCACCATGAAGGAAGAGATGCGGGAGCACTTAGCTTCACTGACAAAGATGTGAGTTGTTTGGGAGGGCCAGTGACACATTGGTGGAAAGTGACTGAATTAGGCGACTTTTTACGTTCCGAAGGGGTCCCCGTGATGCTATTTCATTAATGGAAGAGCAGATGGTGATTAAAACAAGAAAGCTGGGTTAGTTTCTAAAACAGCCTGATGCTAACATGTTTGTTAGCTCTCAGAAAAAAATCAGAATTTTGAGAAAAAAGTCAGAATTCTGAGATTAAAGGCAGAATTCTGAAATTAAAAGATGAATTCTGAGAAAAAAAAGTCATAATTCTGAAATTAAAGGCAGAATTCTGAAATTAAAAGATGAATTCTGAGAAAAAAAAGTCATAATTCTGAAATTAAAGGCAGAATTCTGAGATTAAAAGCAGAATTCTGAAATTAAAAGCAGAATTCTGAGAAAAAAGTCAGAATTCTGGGAAAAAGGTCAGAATTCTGAGATTAAAGTCAGAATTCTGAAATTAAAGTCAGAATTCTGAAATTAAAAGCAGAATTCTGAAATTAAAAGCAGAATTCTGAAATGAAAGGCAAAATTATGAGAAAAAAATTCAGACTTCTGAGATTTAAGTCAGAATTCTGAGATTAAAGTGAGAATTCTGAGAAAAAAAATCAGAATTCTGACTTTTTCTAATATTCTACTGAAATAAAATTTAAAAATCAGTTAACTTTTTTCATTTTTTCAGTCGCCCTAATCCTCTTCCGTAGTTCTGACAGCTGGACCAACAATCTGCTGGACGCTGATGTTTTCCTATCCGAGCTTGAAGCTCCGCCCCCCGCTCTTAAAAAAGAACCCAAACCCGGTGACGTTTTGTTACAGTGGTGTTGCTGGGACTGGGTGAAGAAAAGAAATGGCGATGCTCGGAGGTTTTAGCTCCGCGCAGCCCAAGAAGAGTGTCTCTGAGGAGAGCAGTGACGTGTCGGATTATGTCTGTCCGGTTTGCCTGGAAATTTTCGACATCCCTCTAACAACACAATGCGGTCATACGTGAGTATTCTGCTCTATTTTTCTATCTCCCTCCCCCCACATCCAACCTCTATAACAACGGTGCAACGACACCACTTTAAAACAATGAGAGGTAACGTTAAAGATATTGTTGAAGTCCAAAGAGCTGGGTATGTGTGTTACAGCTTTTTATCGAGACTCTGCTGTTCTAATTTATTAAGATAATTATGTGGCATACTCCATTATAGCTTGCTGAATCAGTTTCAGTTTTGTTTACATCAAAAAGAGGGGCTCAGTTGGGAACTGTAGTCTTTTTTTCATATGGTAGTGCATGCCAGAACGTCAATAAAAACTACAACTCCCATCGGCTTCTTAAGCTCGGGACTTTCCTTAAAAAAAAAAAACCGAATGACTCTGCTATCTGTTAGCAAAGAATTATAATTATATATATATATATATATATATATATATATATATATATATATATATATATATATATATATATATATATATATTTTTTTTTTTTTAAGTAGCTACAATTTGCCGCTTAAGTAAGAAATCTTGAATATTTCTGTTTTTGTCTCTCTGACTGCTCCATTGTCATGTTTTCTTCTATTCAATGGTAGTTTTTGCCAGAGCTGTTTGCAAGAATGTCTGCGTCCACAGAAGCCAGTGTGTGCTGTGTGTAGGACAACTCTGAACCACTGGACTAAAGCTGCTGATATAGAGGCCGCCATCCACAATACAATTGCAGCTTGCAAGGGATGTGGTGTTCAGGTATGATTATTTATAAATCTAATTAAACACACCGTTGCTGGCTTTAAATGAATGGCTATAATATTGTATAATGCCACCAAAACTGTATTTTTTTTAATGACAAAGTGCTATGCTGTTGTTTCCTCCAAAGGTTGGTCTTTCTCAAATGAGAAGCCATACAGCCGCGTGTTCAAAATACCAGGACTACATTGAGGAAGGTGTTAGAAGCACTGCCCAAAATCAGCCAGCCATCATCAGGTAAGAAATAAGCTTCCCAGTATCTTTCCTGCAAGTAGCTGGAAGTTAATTAATGAAAACTTTGGTAGAAGTAAACCCTGCATCAAAAAAGGTGCACAAGCAACCTTCCAAATCCCTCAAATCGTAGGTCCTACCTCCTGTTTTAAGCTCCTATAGGGCCGGTTATACTCCCGCAGCAGGGTGTTGCAGTGAGCATGTCGCAGGTATGGCGCAGACATTTTTGATTTATACTCAATATTGAAGCGCGGTCTGTGCTATGTTTATTCCATGACACAACGCAAGAGGGGAAAATCACGAATTATCTGTGGGTCTAGATATGGCCGAGGCAGTGAGGAAATGGGGGCAAGTTTGTCCTACAACGGAGGGACGTGAGGGCGAAAAAGAGCAGGGATCCAGGTGGAAAAAGGGTCCCAGCGTTCTCGCGCACCTCGTTCGTCTAGCGGGTCCAACTTCACGAGTCGTTTTCCACAATGGTGGTCATACAAAAAACAAGCCGGTAAGGTACCAAACAGGAGATACGCATGAGTAGAGCGGATGTAGATTTGACCAATCAGAGGCCTCCTGTCCGCAGCACTGTCTGCAGTCACCTACAATTTGGCAGAGGTGCAGCAGAGTGTCTGCGCAGGGGGCGGGGACGTCTCTGCGTTCACCGCAACACCTATGCAGATGACCTAGTTTTGAAGTATAAATCAGCTTCATCTCTTCACCCTTTTCAGGATCAAGGGCATTAAGAACACCATCCAGGGTTGCAAAGGAACTCAGGACTGTCGTGCCAAGTCTAAAAAACCTTTAGCCCTAAGGATGTTTTTATTAGACAGACACACATTAACGATGCTTCTTAAGCTGGGACCAATGTCTTCTGGAAAGGAAATACACATAGTAAAAGTTGAACATGAAACAAATGGCTGAAGTCCATAAAAAAAAATTAAAAACCCAGATGGTGTGCAGATTTGCAAAAAATAATGTAAATAATTTTGTGCAAATCCATGTGTTGGGATGTGTGTGTATGTTCTGTCATCCAAAGGATTGTGGGCAACCCTACAGTTCCTAAATCGGCTTCTCCTTATTAACTGCCTGCACTATTCATATAGCACCTATCATTGAAGTGTTGAGATTAAAACCCTGCTTTGGGAAGATAAAGGGAGTTTTTTTTTTATTTAAGCAAATTTAGCATTTAATTTGGGCTTCAATGTCAGAATCTGGAGGAAACGTGGAGAGTTACAATTTGCATATATCTTGACCTACAGTGTGAAGTTTCCTCATTTGGTGGTAATGCTGGTTTGCACTGTCATTTATGGGTGTCGGTCCACTTAGTTTAATCAAAGCCCGTATGGATTTCTACCAAGATGTGTTCTGACAAACTTTATGAAAAATATTAACAAATCTTCCAGCAATATTTTCCTCCTGTCTAGGCTGCCAAAGGTACCAATGTCTGCTTTAATGACTCCATTATTACCAAAAGGGGTTAATTGGTCAGTGACTCGGAGAATAGATTGAGTATTGCAAAAAGAAAGACATAAGATCCCTAGAACTAGCAATCTAAATAATGTAAAGGCCACAACTAAAGCAACCAAGGGCTTCTTCACATGAACCAAAGGCTGATTATTTCTAGGCAATCTTGCTCTGATGCACTATTTATGGTTTATGGACTCAGTGGATTTCATTTCTGCCCTAAAACTAATTTAATTGTGTTTACATCATTCTAATTGTCTGAGAAGCTGAATTTAACAGAAATAAGCTTTTATAATATGTCTACAGACATTTAGTGTCTCCTTGCCTCGGTGTGGAGAACAGTCCTCATGAGGAATAGTAACTGATACCACAGCTTTGTCAAAGGGAAGTACAGCAGAACACACAGAGCTGCACTAGATATCTACACCCTTGGACCATAAAGACATCTCTGCTTTCAAAGAGCTGTTATCTAAGGGTAAATAAAAGGAGGGGGACAAAACTTTTGGTTGTTGAGTTTGTGTGAAGTACTTAAAGCATTGACAAGGATTAAAAAATAAATAAAAGCTGGTATTGTTACTTTTTTATTTTTTCCAAAATTAGTTTCTGAGTTTCATGAATAAAAAACAAAACAGTATTATAACTCACAATTTTGTTAACTTGAAACATTTATGTATATTCTTAGTCTCACAATTTTATCATTATATTTTATTTGAGCATTAAAATACCTCATTTACAGTTAAGTTTTATAGCTATTGTTTTTTTTTTAAGCATGAGATTGTAGACTTTAGGCAGGGAGTGTTTTGCAATCAAATGATATTTCGGTGATATTTTGAATATAGAATAGAATTCAACTTTATTGTCTTTACACTGTTATAAGTACAAAGCAACAAAATGTGGTTTGCATCTATCCAGAAGTGCTATACAGGATATAAATATCTATTTACATGTGCAGAGAGACTATATATGTATTGACTATAAATGGTATATATAAACAGAGAGTAATTGTAAGAGGCTTTAAAATAAACTACATACAGATTATACAGGAAAGTTAGCATATGTTAAAGCACCCATTATGTCCAAATTGAAAGTCCTAAAGGTGAAAGAAGAAAGTATTGGCATTGGACTGACCTGCCCTTAACAAAGGGGAATTCAGAGCCAGAGTTCTCGACTAACTGGTATTTTTGCTTATACTAAAACATTTAGGGAATGAAGTATGTAACAAGAAGAATTCAGGAATGCTTTCATTTCTCTGTGCAATGAATGTATCCTATCTATTAACAGCTTTCATAAAGTAACACAACACTCATTAAGATGATTCATTCCTTTTTCGTCTAAAATTCAAGCCAGCAAAAGCAAATTATGAGATGTAAACGAAAAGTGAAAGTAAATTTTACTGCTCAAGAGATTGTTTTTTTTCCTTTTGAGGTTGTATAAAACACTGCTAGTTTTAGGTAATCTTCAGAAGCACCTTGGCCCATGTGTGTGCAGGCCATCAACTTTAGGGCTTATAGTTAGCTGCTAATCTTATTGTATTCTGTGTATTAATTGTGTTTGGACAGAAAACAGTCTGAATTTTTGAATACAGAGAGTTGTTAATTTGCCATACATTTTTAATGGTGAATAAAAGTCCATTCACCTTAAAGCCAAGAAGGTAAACCAAAGAAGCACATTTCATACATGAGGTAAATGGAGGGCAGGAATAATGGCAGCACTAAAACCAAATATATTCACAAATGTAAGTGAAATCTTATTATATATGTATAGGACCTCTACTAGGTCTAGAGAAGTAAAGAATTTGATTGTAAAACATTTTCTAGATGTGGTTAAGCATGGAAAAAGAAAGTGATGTGTGAAATGGGGCTGGGCAATATAGCCTTAAAAAGGAAATCAAATTTTTTTTAATATATATTTTAATTTGATTTAATTTTTTTTTTTTTAAGATTTTTGATTTGTATTTGTGGCTGGGCAGTTCATCTCCGGGGTCTAAGGTTTTAATCACGTTAATAAACCTGTCCACAGTATAAATGGGCACCATGTCTTTGCCTATGTACAAAATGGCTCCCTGGTGATTGTTCTCCACTGGGCCGCTTTCCTGTCATATATAGTCTCTTGTGCAAAAGATTCGGCAACAGTTGGCTGTTTTTAGCTGAGGTGTGTTGGCCAGGGCAATTTTTCATATTTCATTCCTTTGTTTTAGGTCTTGAAAAAAGGTTTGTGGTGCTGCTGTCTGTAACAGCAAAGGCCTTTAGGCAAAGGTTGCACAGTAGCGTAATAATGTTGCTTACCGTTTCGTGTGACGCTGTCCCTTGCCCCACTGTAATGTGAAAGTAAGGCTATGAAAGCTACGGGGAGAATAAAAATGCATCGCTACACAAAAACACAAATTACTTATTTTTTTTAAATTACCTGCAACAAAAAAATGCAGATTAATTGATTCAATTGTTTTTCTTTTTTTTTAGCCCAGGCCTAGTGTTAAATAATGTTTGTATCTCCTTTCCTTTTATTCATTACTTCCTATCATTGCTTATCACCTTCCCTTTGGCTTCTGTTTCTCTCCTGCATCTTTCCTCCCTGTTTTTATTTTGCTCTTTCTTTCATTGCTTTTCTGTCTCTTGTTTTTCAATTCCTTACTTTCTTGAGTTCTTCTTTTCCCGGAATGTCCTGCCTTTTCCATTGTTTCCTTTCTTTTATCCTTCTTTATGTCCATTCAGGTGTCCTTCAACCCTTCTTCTGATGTGGCCCTCTCTTCTTGTCTGTCCTTTCTACATTAATGATGTCCATTCCTTCAAGTATTCTTTTTTTCCCCTGTTCCTCATTTTCTACCCTTTATACCTCTCGATCATCCTGTCTTTCCTTACTTAGTGTCAGTTTTTGTGTTTTTCATACATTTTGTTCCTTATCCTCCATTTTGTGTTTTTGGGACCCTCCCATCCCAGTGTCCCTTTTTTTTAATTCCTGATTTTTCACTTTCTTCAGTTCTTTCTTGTATCTTTTCATCACTTTCTATTGGCCTTTCATCCTTCCTTCCTCATTATTAAACTTTCTTTCGTTTTAATATTCTGTTATTCTGGGTGTTCTTCCCGGTGTTGTTTCTTCTTCCTTGTGTTACTCATTCCAGTCTGTCAGTTGATGTGTTTTATACATGTGCTATGAATAAAGTTGAACTTGTCTGGAAGGGTTCTTATGAATATATTTTTAAAATGGACAAAATGGATTAGAAATCAGGAAATTTGTCTGGATTTTTTTTATTTTTTTTACACAAATCACTAAGAATACTATTTATTCTGAAAAATAAATCTCTTTTTTCCTGACTGTTTTCTTGGCCTCTAAAAGTTTCTTAGTTTAACAGATAAACTGTAATATACTAACTTGATTTGATTGATTGTAACAATGGAACAAACAGTAATAACATAAATATTTTTGTCCCTGTTCCTCAGTTCGGTGCCGAATCGCTTCACCTTCTCCTGCCCCTACTGCAACTACCAGAACCTCGATCAAGATGGTCTAGTTGAACATTGCACTTCCCAACATGCACGAGATACGCGCCAAGTGGTGAGAAATCCATACAGCCCTGAAGATCTTTTATTTTGTTTAGCTTTTTTTTTGAGCATGACTAATCCAATGTTGATGATGGCTTAATTCCTTTCGCTCCTGTAAGGTGTGTCCCATCTGTGCCTCAATGCCTTGGGGAGATCCCAACTACAGGAGTGCTGACTTTTTCCAGCACCTGAAGATCAGACACACTTTCTCCTATGATACTTTTGTTGTAAGTGAAACATGAGTATACTTTTTATTTTATTTTGAAAAACAACCACTTAGTTGATATTGTTTTCTCTTTAATTTGTTGTGTTCTGTAGGATTACGCCACAGATGAGCACACAATGATTCAGGAGGCTTTACAACGTTCTCTCATGGACAAGTGAAGTGTGAGCAACAAGGTAGCAGCAGAAAGAAGAGGAATGCAGCCAAGAGAGCAGGGGATTCTCTTGGAAAGACAAAAAAACAAAAACAAACACTGTATCATTAATTAACCTGTTCAGAGGATGGTTGTACTTAATTGCAATGGATAACTATTATTTTAAGGGGATATTGGGTCACATTTTCAAAATCTTAATAACTTGGAATAAAAGAAGTAATGGATTATGATTGAAACACGTTGTACTGTTTGATTTAGGACCGATGCAGTGTTTCCATCCTGATAATCTCTTATCTTCTGCTCTGCTAATTATGTGTTCTTGGTAGTTAGTTTTGCATCTCTTTAATTATGTTTTAGTCACTTATTTAGTAATGACTGTGTGTCATACAACCAAAAACTTCCAAAGTTGTTAAAAAAAAAAAAAAAATAATAGGTTTGTCAATACTTGATGTTATGAGAGGTTTTGACCACTAGGTGGCTAGATATCACCAGAAAATGACAAACTTTCTGAAAGTTGTCAGGCTATAGTAATAAATAATATCTGGGCCAAGAATGGCTAAGCTTTCTGCATTGAGAGACAAAAAAAGGGATCCATACGAATCTGCTGTTTATAGTTCAAATGTGTTTTTTTTGTGTTTTTTTTCTAAGATGTGAATAGAAAATGTTGATAGGGTCAGAGCAAGAGATGGCAGGTCGCATTATTGTAAGGTTTCACCCTTTGTGTCTTTGTGCCTTCTTGTAAATCATATTTCTGACTTCCAAAATTAACAGGGCTAATCTAGATCGTCATGGGAATAAAGAGATGCAAAAAGGTCTGCATCAATTGGTTATGTGCATCATTTCTCCTGTTTGTAGCTTTTATTTGCCACTGGGGGGCACCAGAGCACTTCCTATCCCTGAGTTCTAGTCGTGATAGTGCTAGATCATCCTAGATTTCATTAGTGTTTTTCACAAGCTTTCCTTTTAAGTGCATTATACAGAAATGTCACAGATATAAAGAAAAATAGGTTTTAGTGAAGTAATCTAGTCATAGCTGAAACTGTAATTACAATTTACAAGATTAAAATTACATGGTGGTGAGATAATATAAGTTTATATGTAAGGTGCTGTGATATGTTGCCTGGATAGAAACCTTCGACGACCCAGAATCCTCGGCTTTTTGTATATCCTCAAAGTTCTTGTTCTTGATATCGACGCCAACCAAATATTGCTTGCGTGCAGGGAAAAGAAAAGAACAAAAGCTGGTTTGATTTTCTTTTTCAATCTTGTTTTTTGAATTAGTTTTGAAAATCTTCGATCAACCGCTAAGTAAAACAAATCTTGAAGCAATGCATTTCTCCCTAAGCTACAGACGAATAAATATTCTTACAGCAGATTAAGTAGCCCTCATACAGAACCTCTTTTTGTTTCTAATCTAGTCTTTGATCTCTATTGTGCCTGTTGTGAACCTTGTGTGTCCCCCTCTGAGGCTGTGATGCGTCTGAAATTTTCTGTGTTTCCAATGTGTATTAACTTTTCTTTTTCATTTTCTAAATGTATCTCATTCTCTTTTATCAGCCCTTCTGTCTGGAAGTGCTCAATTCTGAGAAATTAAAGCTATAATTATTTAAACCTTGGACTCAAATATCCAGTGCAGTGATTTATACCTGTGTGCAGAAGCGATATTTACAATCTGTGCTTTACTCTTTACACTGCTTAACAAAACAAAGCTCTCGAGATATTCCCCATTTTATCCGATTGAAACCACAAACTTCTATTTTCCTCTGGTTTTATGCGACAGACTAGCACAGAGTCCTGAATCAAAACTTTTTAGAATTACCATTTGGATATGTCTTTATTAGTTTTGTCTAAAACATACCATCTATACTCGAATAATCTATACCCAATATTCTTTGTAAACTTGTTCAGGCTTTATAAACTTTTTTAATTTTTAAGTCTTCCTACAAACATTAATTTAGATGGGGATTATAAAGGGCGACAATAACCAATAAATATGCTTAGCGTTAAGTTTTTACTGTTCAGTTTGTGTAGCAGGGGTGATTATGATGATGAGGCTACGCCTTATAGTCTCAAGTCTTCAGTTTCATCTAACGGGTTTTCTTTTAGGACTAACTAGTATTTTAGTATTTAGTATAGAAAAAGGCAATTAAGAGAAATTTATTGATATAATTACTTTGTCTTTGGCGCTCAGACCTCGGCAGGAAACATAGCACTGAAATTTGATACATATGCATAACTTTAATACAGGTTGAGAGAACCTGTCCATGATGAGCAAGCATGACGCGAGAGTGGAGAGGAAAAACTCCTCGTTGGGAAGAGTCCGGGAGGAATGACACTCCGATGAAGCTTTAGCTATGATGGTGGAGGAGGGGCTGGAGGTGGGTTGAAACGGTGTCATCTGAATGAAGTTGCACAGGAGCAGATGGTTGCGTATCAGAGGCCTTTGAAGATGAACTTTGGGTGCCGATTAACTTTCGTGGAGGTGTGGTTCAAAGCTGATTGGCTGTGTCGCAGGTGGATAAAGGAAAGCAATGAGTTTCTTCAGTTGAACTACTGCCTAGGCTCCATTTAAAGCAGTCAGTGACGAGAGCTAGTTCTACATCAAGATGCTGCTATCATTATGTCTGACTTAGGTGATTGTATATTAGCGGGTTGTGCATTTATTTTTCTGAACCCCACAAAGTGTTTTGCCTGTGAGCCGGTAAGCTCAGTTCGGAGTTAGATGTGTTTTATGATACACTCACATTAAGTACACACTGGAATTAATCTAGGGTAACAGACTAAAAGGAACTAAGTAGAAAATCCATCTAACATTTTTTCTGGGGGCTGATATTGGTAAAGCCCTATCTTATTGTTACATCACACTTGTGTGTTTTGAAGTTTGAGGTTATAATAATGCAATGTATGGAAAGGTTCAAGGGTTTTGTTTTTTTATTGCCACTGTGTGTTTATGAGAAAAAGGTTCTAGATAAATAGTTGGGTGATTTTTTTAACATCAGGATTAACATAGAAACCATTTTAACCAAGATGAAATAGCAGAAATTGGAGCTTTCTACAAACCTTTGTTTTATTTTTTAAAAATGAGGACATCATACGAATAACGATCTTGCAACATGTCTTTGAATGTGACAACTTTCTGATGAAATCCAGGTTCTTTAGTGTACATTGTCCACAGGGAGCGAAACGTCTCACATCTCTTTCCTTTAGAGATTCTTGTTGCTCTAATCACTGCAGCTTAATAATAGTACAGTTTTATTGCTCTACAAAGAACCTTATAAACCTTATGTTTTCTTATCCCCCCCCCCTGCTCCTATCAGGTTTTTTTGCTCCTGGCAGATAGGAGTGATTTTAGCTGTGAGAGAACTAACGAGATACTCCAGTGCTTCTGGGCAGGAAGGAAGTCGCATTGAAAAACATGGCAGAAAGAAGACTTTCTTGTCTGTTGGGTGGTGGCGCCTAAGAGGGAGAGAGAGCTAAAGGTGGGGAGAGAGAAAAGAAGGAAAAAGCAGAGGGGGGAAAGGAAGAGAAGGGAAAACATTAAATAAAAATTTCATAAAGTTCACTCTGTTGTTTCTTTGATGCGAGCAATAGATGGTGGAGTCTGCAGGCTCTATGGAGGCAGCAATTAATGCTACATGTGCCTGAAGGGATGGCACTGGATTGTTTTGGAATTAGAATATCACGCTATTTTTTTTATAAAGACACTTCTCCTCATTTTTGTTTTCTCTGCACTGTGAACATTTGTATGGATGTCTCCTCTGATTGAGGGATTGTTAAAAAAAAAATCAGCAGGTTTAGGTCCTAACTGGTCATGGTAAACAAATGCTTTATGCTGTTTTAGTTTAACAAAATGTCTCAACAGTTATTATTACAGCTAAGAGGAGGCGCTGTTCTAGTCAGAACAAAATGATGATGTTGTAATCTAAGTGTACTTTTACCCTATTTGGAAAGATGAACCTGATAGTTTTAGTCAGATATTTACAGAGACACATTACTGCCAGGTATTTATAATAAATGTTCGTGTATTTAGAGTAATTGTTCTTTTTTGTGTTTGATTGATCATACAGACTATTGTAAACACATTTTTGTAAAGGGAGTTTATTTTAGCAACAGATTTCAATCTAATCTATGTCAGTATTCTAATCTAGGATCAAAACACATGCTCTGGTTATCAAGCAATGTTTTTTTTTAGTTCTTTTTCTAAAATTTCTCCACCCACTTCACCAGAAAAAAACAAAAACAAACACACACACAAAAAAACACAGATCCATTTTAGAAAATCTGTAATATAGAGTCATATTCACTTACACATTAACTAACTGAATCCTAAGTATAATGCAATGTTACTAAGATAATGTTATTATTCCAATTGGTAAAATGTTTTCCTATCTAATGAGAGATGATTGTTTGGATTGAGTTTTTGACATTTTTAAAAATTCTCTCTAATTATTAGATTAATATCTCTTAATTAGGAGAGTCGGGCCTAGAGGTTAGGGCATAGAGCTTGGAATCCTGAGGTTCTAAGTTCAAGCCCCACTCCCACAGACTACCACTCTGGGTCCCTGGCCCACGGTGGCAGCCCACTGCTCCCCAAGGGAGCAATTATTATCCAATGTGAGATCAATATGGTTGAGTCATGTTTATTATTATTAATAATATTATCCTCTCCATGCTTTTCCTTCTGCATATTTTACTTTTTTTTTTAGATTTAGTAGAAAACCTCTAAATTAGGAAGTTATGTGTTACTGAATAGCCTTACAGGCTCAGAAGACACATAGTTTTAACTTGGAAACCTCTATATCAAAAGCTTAAAGTGCTGATGAGCATTCTACCATGTTTGTAAACCAAAAATCAATTCCAAAATTTCAATGTAATATTTTCAAGACCACCTGCATAAGAACCGTCTAATAATATGTAAAAAAAAAAAAAAAAAAAATATATATATATATATATATATATATATATATATTTATAAATTAACACATCAAAATTGGCTGCAAAATGGTAAAAATCTGGTAGCGTTAAGCTTATGGAATAGCCTTGACCTCAGCTGTATTTATGTTATGCTTAAAAACAGCATCTGTACCAAGAAACCAAATACTAAATACAGATTTGTGATAAGACCTAAGGAGCAGACAAGGTGCTTCTGTCTGTGGTTTGAGACAACAAGAGACTGTTTTACCTATAAACCCTTGAAAGTTCTCTCTGTTAGTTAGAATTTGAAGTTTTGCTGAGGCAGATATCTGGGATGAGGTGGGGAGAAAGAGAGTAAGAAGAGAGCACTGGGAGTTCGTTCACCGAAATATTCCTCAAAGTCAGGAGAAACAGGAAGAGCGGTGGATCCTGATCCTGGTTGCTGCAGTTCTGCAGGTCTGTCCTTTCAAATGTTTGAACAGAAAGTGCCAGTGGGCTTCCCCGACATCAATAGGGGTTCTACACCAACTCATCTTCCGCTCTTAAACTCTTAACAACCCCCCCACCCTCTCCCCCCCCGAACACACACACAGACACCAGCCAGGCATGCATACTTCTTGTGCTTTTAGCTGGAGAGCATCTACTTTTAACTTTGATTTAATGTTGCCTGCAACCAACCTGGCCCTGTATCAGCTGAACTTCATCTTGTGCATCTTGTATGAGTGGGCATACAAGATGCACAAAAAAAAAGACAAATTTCCATAAATTTAAAAACTCCAGTTATACTCCTCTGTTGATAGCTTCAATTAATAAAAAAATAATAATAATATAAAAAAGAGATACTTATGAATCTAGCTTCAACAGTGACCATTTTAACCAGATATAAATTTCATCTTTGAGCTTCAAAAGTTTCCAAAATCCCAATTTAAAGAAAAAAAAAATCCAAATTCTCCTGGAAGTGAAAATGAATATAAAAAACACTGATACAACTATCAGGAGAATTGATTATTATTTATTTAAAATCCTTACAGCTCCTGTGCTAATATTTGAAAACTAGGCACTTTGGGGTGTTACACTGGGTGGGGTTAAGATGGTCTCAGGCTTATCTGTGAACGTGTACAAGATTGTGTCACGGTAGAATCACAGCCCAAGTGAGGCGATATTCCCCCTTCTCCATGCCCCTGTAGACCCACTGAGATGTGCATGAAGGAAAGCGATGCCCAGGGCTATTATTCACCCATTAATTTTTCCATTTGAAATCAAACCTCAGTGGGCGTGAATGAGGGGATAAAAGGAGGGGCAGAGAACTGGAAAGGGGATAACCTTATCTGAAAGGTGGGATTTAAGTTTGTTGTAGCTGTAAAAATGTCCATTAGGGGAGGCAATGGGACTTTCATAAGAGTGCTTCTTTTTCTTGTCAATACTTTTTCTTACCTTCCTCCTTTTTAATTCAAAAAAAGACAGTGAATTACTGTAGATCTAACTCAACTCGGACTTTAAGCTTTAATAGGCATATACTGTATATTCTTGCAAAAGTATTCCTACCTCCTTTCATTTTTTTGTTTTACATTTTGTCATGTTGCCACCAAAAATTTCAGTTTTTCATCCATATTTACTCGACATACAGATGAAAGTAGTAAAATAAATTCTGACAACAAATTTGCTGTGAATTCCTCAAACCAAATGTTTCTAAAAGC